TATATTAAATGTGTTTGGTTAGACTAGAATAAATTGATGAGTATGTCATATTGATATGTTTGGTTGGGAAGAATAAATTGGTGGGTATGTTATATAGATTACTGAATTGCCCTTCTTTTTTTAATAATATTATTATTTTTTAATCCCTTATATTTGAGAATTTAGCTAAAACACCCTTACAATAAAAGTTAAAAAATTAATAAAAACACCCTAGCCACCCAAGTCATTGTCGGTCGCCGACCACCAGTGTTAGCCAACGGCACACGATCGGCCGAATCTGGCCAACCATGTGTTGATTTGGCCGAAAACTGCCAAAATAGAGCTGGCCGTTTTCGGCCAAATCCACGACCATCCACTGCTAGATCGACGCATGACCGGTTAGATTGAGCCGGTCAAGCGTCGTTATGGCGGTGGTGGCCGGCGGTTATTGTTTTCAAGTTCAAGAGTATTTATGTCCTAAAAATATTGTATATAAGGACAAAATAGTCCATAAATATTTTTGTAAATTGTTTTCAAAACAAATGCATTATTGTCCAAAAATTTTAATAGTTAAGTGTAAAATTGTAACAAAATTAAGATTACCAAGTAATCTTAAAATACCTAAGAAAATGGTGATATTCAGTTTATCACCTATATAACCAACAATAATTACTATTGGTTTTGGAAGATTACCCGATTGTTATATTACTTGACAACCAAACATGGTAATGTAAGTAATATAAGATAACATTACTCTGGTAATCTCATACACACTCCAACCAAACGCCCCCTTAAAGTTATTTTGGAGTTGGCCTTGAGACCACTAACATGTATTGGCTGATTTTATGTTTTTTTTTTTTTTTAATTATGGAGAAGATGGGTTCTTAGGAATATATTGTTTTACCCATTTATATATTTGTTATAAAAAAGTGTTAATATTAATTATTTTACAAGTGTTATGAAAAAGTGAATTTAATTATACAAATGTTTGGTTATTTGAATAGAGTTTTTATACATATCAATTCAATTTTAGTGAACATATATAATGTAAAATCTATTTAAAAAAATATTATATTAAGATTTATTTTAATTTAATTTTTATTACTTTATAAATTATAAATATATTAGTTAATGAAAATTCTATAAATACAAAATTCGTGCTTCTGCTTATATTAATTTAAACTTGTGTTATTTTTTTAACTTTGACCACTCTACCTTTGTCTATATGCTATATTTTTGGCAGGAAATTTACCGAAGGCTGTCTCTGCTAAGTCAAAATTTTAACCTGAAGGCAATAAACAAAGATTCGGAGTGATTCAGGAAACTACATCATGTGGGTGCCCGTTCAGTTGACAGTCAAAAGCACTCTTTATTTCTTGATTTCTTCATTATTTCCAAGAAACAATGTCATGGGGAATCAATTGGCAGCTTCTTCCTTAATGGCACCTCCAGCTGCAGAAAACAAGGAAAGAAACCGACATTCAACTTTTATTGGTTCAAATTGGATTGCATTTGGATAACTTTATCTGCATGTTTCTTTAATCTGTTCAATATAATTCCAAATATTTGAAGTTCCATAATACATGTTGGTTTCAGTGACCATACCGTCTATTCATAAAACAATATAAAGTTATGATATTGAATGATGGAAGAATCTCTGTGGTTTGGTTACTATATATACTTTATACGATATAAATATAATATTTGTAATATGTGAAATTACATTTTTATATATTTATATTTGTTGTGCAATAATGTGCAGCCAGTTTGAAGCAAGTAATAGTTTGGAGCGAGTTTTAGCTCAGAATAGCTCAAAATAATTTATGAGATGACGATCAGATGAAAACGAACTGTGTTTAAAAGAAAAACGAGATACTTGACAATTATCCTCTAAACCATGAATGAGTTTTATCTAGCCATTCACAAACACCATAGCCAAATTATTGATATATCATAGATTAGCCTCAGGTACAACTAGACCAAAGTACAGACCCTCATTAAGTTGCTGTTCTTTCCAGGTTGTTTGAACTGCCATCCAGCTCAGTAGTAGTCGAAGCCGCAAAAGGTTCGGAAGATTCTCCATTCAAAATAATATTCTTGACAAATTCTCATCTTTATCAGAACCTCGTTGATCAGATTCACCCTCCTTTCTGGACACCGAATTTAATTAACCTGTCTATTCAACTTTGTACAGCAATTAATGCACGTACTGGATATATAAAATGATTCCTTCGTAAGAATTAAGGGTAACTCATTACTTACTGTTATATATGCAAAAAATTAAGATAATCCATCACATGTAATTTTTAAAACTTTCTTAGCATTTTACACGTATGAATCATTGGTATCAAAATCAAGCATCAACAGTTTGGTGGCCCATATAGGTCTCGAACCTGCGTCCAAATTTTTCGATCGTGTGGTTAGATTGTAGATCGCACGCTTCAGAGCACTTAGATCGCGTGACCAGATCGCATGCATCAGAGCCCTTAGATCACAGATCGCACACATTAGAGCCCTCAGATCGCGTGGCCATATCCCAAATTGCACGCATCGAGCCCTCAGATCGCGTGGCTAGATTATCGATCGCACACATCAGAGCCCTCCGATCACATGGCCAGATCGCAGATTGCATGCATCAAAGTTCTCCGATCACGTGGTCAGATCGTAGATCGCATGCAATAGAGCCCTCAGATCACGTGGCCAGATCGCACGCATCAGAGTTCTCCGATCACGTGGTCAGATCGTAGATCGCATGCATTAGAGCCCTCAGATTGCGTGGCCAGATCACAGATCGCATGCATCAGAGCTCTTAGATCGCGTGGCCCGATCGTAGATCACACGCATTAGAGCCCTCAATTCGCATGGTCAGATCGCAGATCACACGCATCAGAGTTCTCTAATCGCGTGGTCAGATCGCAAATCGCAACCTCAGATCACATGGCCAGATTATAAATCGCACGCTCAGATCATCCAGATCGCGCGTTCAAGATAGTTGAGATCATGCATTCAGATTGCAAATCGGACACATTAGAGTTCTCTGATCGTGTGGTCAAATCGCAGATTGCACGCATTAGTTCTCAATTGCGTGGCCAGATCGCAGATCGCAAGCTTCAGAGCCCTCAAATCGCGTGGCTAGATCAAAGATCGCACGCATCAGAGTTCTTCGATTGCGTGGCCAGATCGCAGACCGACGCATTAGAACCCTCAGATCGCGTGATTAGATCACAGATCGCATGCATCAGAGTTCTCCGATCGCGTGGTCAAATTGCAGATCGCATGCTCAGATCACCCATATCACGTGGCTAGGTCGCAGATTGCACGCTCAGATCATCCGAATCGCATGTTCAAGATCGTTGAGATCACGGGTTCAGATCGCACGCTCAGAACATCTAGATCGCACGCTCAGAACATCTAGATCGCGCATTCAAGATCGTTGAGATTACACGTTCAAATAATTTAGATTGTGCTTCTGAGCGGCCAGATCATGCTTTCGAGTGCTTAGATCGATGATCTCGAGTTCTCAGATCAAGCTCTACGCTTTTTGATCAAACTTCTTGTTCTCAAATCAGGCTTTGCGCTTTCTGATCGAATTCCTTCTGTTCTCTAATTGAGCTCATAAGCTCGCTTGTTTACTTGAGATCGTGTGCATCATATCGTTCAGATCGCATGCCTCAAACTCTCAGGTCGAGCTCCTATCAGATCGCGATCAGCTCCTAGCTCTTAGATCACGATCAATTCATAGCTCTCAAATCGCGACCAGCTCTTAGCTCTGATATTTCGAACAACCTCAGGTCGTGTTCTCAACTCTTAAATCACAATTAGTTCTCAATTCTCAGATCGCGGCTAGCTGCCAGCGTCAGAAAAAACGCGTAGAAAACTCAAAATAGTCCCGAAACATGCTGAAACGGTGGATTTTGGTCCCGAAAATGGCCCCTATAAGGTTCCCCCATTGCCACGACGTAGAGCTTAGAATAAGCTTTCCGTGGATATCTTACGGGCTCCAAAACTCCTCCCGGATCAAAAGTTATGGCTGTTTTAAGTTGGCTTATTCGTTTAAGGCCTCTAAGCCGTGCGTTTCGGCTTCTGATGTTAGCTCCCTCCAGGAATTTATCTACTGGACATTTCATGTCAGTTATCAGATCGTGCTCAACTTCGGATCGTTCCAAGCTCTCAGATCACAATCCTAGCTAGCTCTCAGCACCCGATCGCGCCAAGCATAGTTCAAGCTCTTTAGTTCGAGACTGCAGCCTATAGTGCGACAGCCATTCAAATCTAAGACATGAGTTTTTGAAGTGCAATTACGGACTCCAAAAACTGGGAAGGTTCTGTTATGCCTAGAAAGTCACGTTGATGTCAGCTCAACAAGTGTTTAAAAGACAAAGTGTACTAGCTGCCAAGCCCATACCGCCTCAAAGATATTTATACCAACCCTATCTCATTTTAAGAGATGGACGAACGAGAGCTCTCCATGTGTCAAGGCAACTTACAAAACACTCATTACATGACCTCATAGGTGTATAAATGGGCACCCCTCTTCATGAAAAATGGGGGATGGGCAGATGAGAGCTAGACATAGATTTGAGCTTTATTATCTTTCTCTGTAAACAAGGTTTTTCTCCATCTTTATATGTCTTACGGGCAATATCATAAAAATAGCCAAAGAATAGTAAAATAACAGTAGATGTAGGATTCGCTTTAAGCATCCGAATCACTTTAAAAATCTCTCTTGCCAATCTTTTATTTATGTTTTTTGCAAATATATATAATCTCAACACTATATTTAAATCTCATAAATCCATTACTTGTATTAAAACTCTCTTAGTATTTTGCAAGTGCGAGTCGTTGGTGTTAAAATTATGTATAACATATACCTTAATGTGATAGGTTAAACGAACAAAATTACGTGAAGAAAAGGAATTCAATACACAATTTTATATATTATCAGTATTTTTTTTTTTACCAATCATGATAGTCATCTTCTTTTCATTGCAATAAATTGAAAAACCTGAAACACCTGAGTTAGTATTTCTCTAAACAAGAAAGAAAATGGATCTCTTATTTAGCTTTATACTGTGGCTTCTCTTCACATGGGTTTCAATATTAGCCTTCAACTCCATTTTCAGAGGAAGCAATCCAACTTCCAGAAAGCTTCCTCCCGGACCGACAAAATTTCCGATCATCGGGAACCTCTTAGCTCTTGGTGAAAAACCTCACAGGTCTTTAGCCAAGCTCGCCAAGATTTATGGCTCCATAATGAGTCTTAAACTTGGCCAGGTGACCACCATAGTCATTTCTTCCGAATCCATGGCCAAACAAGTTCTTCAAATCCACGATTCATCTTTCTGTAATCGATCCGTCCCCGACGCCCTCCTCGCCCACCGGCATGATGACTTCAGCATGGCTTGGCTACCAGCCTCCACTGAGTGGAGAACTCTCAGGAAAATCAGCAACTCGAATATTTTCACTACTCAAAAACTGGATGCTAATCAAGACCTCCGGCGCAAGAAAGTCCTACAACTCATTTCTTATGTTCAAGAAAGTTGCGATGCCAGTAGAGCCATAGATATTGGCCGAGCAGCTTTCACTGCTACTCTTAATTTGATATCAAACACTATATTCTCCGTTGATTTGGCTGATCCCAAATCAGAGTTTTCCAGAGAGTTTCGGGAGCTCGTGTGGAGTATTATGGTGGAAGCTGGAAAGCCTAACGTGGCCGATTATTTTCCTGTGCTTAAAAAAATTGACCCCCAAGGGATAAGGCGCCGCCTGACGATTCATTTTGGGAAGATGTTGGACCTCTTTGATCGCATGATCGATCAACGCTTGAAGCTGAGAGAAGAGCCTGGTTATGTTAAAACCAATGACATGCTGGAAATTCTACTCAACATTATGGAAGACAAAACTGAAGCTATCGACAGAAATTATATCAAACACTTATTTTTGGTTTGTATTTATTTTAACTTGTATTGGTTGAAGCTTAATTACATATCCTGAACACCCAGCTCCCTGTGAAGATATGGTTGGATTTTCTCTTATTCACTTCAAATATTGGGACTCAATAGAACGCGTCACCATTAAGGACTTTCATCTTTGAAAATGAATCAAAGGTTCAAATCAAGAGAATGTATTCTTAATCCTACTATTTGATGTGCGTAAGAGACAATTCAGACAATATGTTCACAGTTGGCAAGGGTGTTTCATATTCTTTCTTTGTTAATAAATTTCATGGGTAACAGGATTTATTTGCTGCCGGTACTGACACAACTTCCAGCACACTGGAATGGGCAATGGCGGAACTCCTCCATAATCCTGAAGCTTTATCAAAAGCCCGATTGGAGCTGGAGCAAACCATAGGCAAAGGGAACCTAGTTGAGGAATCAAACATCACTCAGTTACCTTACTTACAAGCAATCATCAAAGAAACTTTCAGATTGCATCCTCCAGTTCCCTTTTTACTTCCCCGCAAACCCTCGACAGACATGGAAATCAACGGCTTCACAATCCCGAAGCACTCACAAATTCTAGTCAACGCATGGGCGATTGGCAGAGACGCAAACACATGGAACAACCCCAACACTTTTCTCCCCGAAAGATTCTTGGGGTCGGATGTTGATGTGAAAGGCAGAAACTTCGAGCTCATTCCGTTTGGTGGGGGGCGGCGAATCTGCCCCGGTTTGCCACTGGCGACGAGAATGATGCATTTGATGTTGGGTTCGCTTCTTCACGGCTTTGATTGGAAGCTTGAAGATGGCGTTACGCCTGAGAAGATGGACATGGAAGACAAGTTCGGCATCACTGTACAGAAAGCGCAGCCGCTTCTTGCTGTCCCAGTTGCGTGGGAATAGAACAAGTTTGACTTGTCAGCGTGTGAATTATCTTTATATTTTTAATGTTTAATAAAGTGATTTCAAAACTTCTTGATTTGGAATACAATCCCATAAATGGTACAACAGTGATGCTAATCCCACTTAAATGAGGATATTTTGACAAAGAGTAGATCTTTTGGCACTCCGTAAACTCCTTGAAGATGGCGTTACGCTTGAGAGGATGGACATGGAAGACAAGTTCGGCATCACAGTACAGAAAACGCAGCCGCTTCGTGCTGTCCCAGTTGCGTGCAAATATAATAAGTTTGCCTTGTGAGTGTATGAATTATCTTTATATTTTTAATGTTTAATAAAGTGATTTCAAATCCCATAAAGGGTACATCAACGATGCTGATCAGCTGATTTGGAAGAAAATTCCATATTTGTTACATCAGTGATGCTAATCAGCCTCCCCACTTAAATTTAAATGTCCCTTTCAGAATGTCTCTTTCCTTACTATCCAATAATAAGTTGATCAAATAAATTAAGCCAAATTGTCTACATCTTATGATGTCGACCACTTAAATTTATATGTATATTTTGTTAAAGAGTGAGATACTTCATACTTGTCCTGTTTACCCAAACAAAAAACAAATATAGGCATATGTGTCTTGTTATGTACAATATATATGATATTGAGCATTAATACAACAATATATAATTGATATGTACATCAAATTTCATTTGTTTTGCCTTTAGATTACGATTTGATTCAATGAAGTAGTAATTATCAAGAATATGTCATAATAATACAAATTCGATTTAATTAATTATCAGATGCAGATGAATAGTCAGCAGGAATGCATATTCAAGAACATTTGTGGTGGTGGGGGCCTGAGTCCGGTAATACTTGGCCTTGGGTAGGTGGGGTTTTAAGATTAGAATATTAGTGCAGTATTATTTAGGTTAATCATCCAGTTAAACAAACGCATAAATCTTTTTTTCAGATGATATGTATTCTAACTAACTTTGGTAAGCAAATGCAGTGATTAAGAAATTGAAAATATCGATAGAACGTCGAAGTTTAGCTTATGGGCTAGGTCATCTAAATACCAAACCTCACCAACTCTCTTACTCTAATTTATTACTTCACATAACTTGCTTACCCAAATTCCATTACTTCACGGAAGAAAGATGGAGACAAATTTACAAATAACTTTTTTAATGTTTAATTAAGGGGAGAACACCCAAGGTTTGGCGAAACAACACTTTACCACCCACAAGTTTCAAAATGACACTTTCTCACCCTTCATCAGGTTCTGTTAGTATTTTCTATTAATATTTGACTGAAAAGACAAAAATAACCTTAAAAAGTTTATTTCTTAATTCGTTTATTATAAATTAAAATTTTGTTAAGTGAAAGTGTTTACTCGATTATTTATTAGTTCAAGTGTAAAGATAACATTTTTTCTTTTGTTTATTTAATTAATTAGGAATATTGATTTTCTATGTTAATTAATAAAAATGAAAAACATTATAAATTTAGTAGATTATTGAATAATAGTGATGGGATATTGATGACATTATAAATAAATAAATAAATATTAAAATCATTTAACTTTAAATAATTCTATAGCATTACTCCTAACTTTTTAGATGGGGTTAACTATTTTTTCTATTTTGACTTTTTAATATTTGACTTTTTGGCTAATTAAAAAATAATAAAAATTTATAAAGTCAAATATTTAAGGATATTTTCATCTTTTCAGTAAAATATTAACAAAAAATATAACAGAACCTAATAAAGGGTGAGAAAGTGTTACTTTGAAACTTGATAGGTGATAAAATGTTGTTTTGCTAAACTTTGGGTGGGAAAAAGTTGTTCTCCCTTAATTAAGTGATCCACTACCACCAGCCTTCTTTGAGTTGAAAAATGAGGATTAAAATAGGTAAAAGAATGATTTTATTTATTTCTTTTTTATTATTATCAGGATTTAGGAAAATGTGCATTCCCTTTCACCTAAGTCAACCCTGCACCTTATCTTTTAATCATGTTTTTAAGGAAAATTTTGGGCTCCTTCAGGTTTATGTTAGCACAAGAATTACTAACATGGTATTATTATAACAATTAATTTAAGGATTCAAGAGAAAAGAAATTCATAAGTAGCATCAATTCATTGGATTTGGAGGATGGTAATTATACCCCATTGCATTATAGATTTTTTGCGGTTTTTTTTTATTAATTATTTTTTTAATAATGTAATGATGACAAGCCCTATTTGATCAATAAGCTAATAATTAACCTTTTTGCAGTGACTAGGAACTCGGCCGGCTTGGTCGATTCAACGGTGACTTGCCGCCTTTATTGGGTCGAATTTAAAATGTTCTATTTATTCAAAACCCTAAAAATTAGAACATCAATTTATGAACAATTAAAAGCTGGAATGTTAGTGCTTTTGAAGAGGAATGATCGATGAGTAGAATAGTGGTAACGACGTTGATTTTCGATGAGTGAATCGACCGAAAATCATAAAACAATATCGTCAGAAATCGCAAAATAAAGCCTGTTGTCGTCAGCGATTGAGGAGGCGAACGGGGGAGATGTGAGATGAGTTTTGGTCAGGAGGCTGAGGGGGGTATTCTCGTGGTGATGGGGAGTGTTGTCGTCCCTGGAAACATGCCCTATTTGTCGATGCCAACGATGGTGTTTGGGGTGTTTTTATAAGATTTTAAACCTATGGGGACTTAGATAATTTTCAAGGGTGGTTTTGTTAAATTTCAAACCTTTAGACATCGGTTTGACCCAACCACTCGACCCGTAACCTGTTGGCCTGGCCGGATCACTGCAAGTGTCGGGTTTCTAATCACTGCCTTTTTATGTTTTTTTACTATTATCAAAGAGTTAATTACAGTAAAACCCCTCTATAGTCATAATGGTGGGACTAACTAATTTTATTACTATGAGGAGGTTATAACTTAAAGGAGGTTATAACTTAATGGAGGTATAGTTACAAAAATTATTATTTTGATTTCTTATTTTATTATTCATATTTTAGTAGTATAGTATTAAGATTTCAATTCATATTTTAATAGTATTAGGATTTCAATTCAATCTTTAAATTGCTTACTTTTGAAATAGATAAAAGATCGTGTCTTGGAACCAGCAAAAATAAGCGTCATTGATGAAACTGTAAATGCTGTTGATGCATGGTCAATTGATGTGAAGCCATAGAAAATTACCAATGGTTTTAAGCACTGCAAAATTAGGACCCCTAGTGTCGATGAATTGCAAATTACTAATAAAGTGGATGAGGAGAATAAAAGAATCATTGCAGAATTGATGGATTAGATTTAACATCTTCACTACACTCAATGGTGGATCCAGCCACTTTTGGTCCACCCTCAATTTTTTTTTTTTAATATTAATATATATAATTTATATATTTTGGCCCACCCTAATAAAAATATTAATGGACAAAAATAGTAATGTATAATAAATTTTTATTTTGGCTCACCCTAAAAGAAATTTCTGGATCCGCTACTGACTACACTAATCAAATAAATATTAATGTCTTCCTCAATTATCCAAATAAATAACAAATCATATATACTTTAACCAAAGAAGAAATTATTACGCAATTATACAAGAAAAAAAATAAAATAATCCTAAGGATTATAGTACGGAAATACAAAAAGTTTCTTACTATGAAGCTTTAAACATGCTTGAGAAGCTAAAAATATTTTTGCTTCAATAAGAAGGTGTCCAATCTATTGAGGTATTACGTACTCATAAGATAAAAGATATGGTAACAACTCTAAAACATAAATCATTGTCCCAAACAATTTTAGATAAATATTTTATTTCATCTTAAACCTTTAATGTAACATAACATATATTTATTTATAATATGCAGATAATTATTACTATATAAATATAACTTTCCTTAAGGCATAAATTTGAAAAATGATAATTTATTACAATGTGAAGTTTATTCTTATTTATAACTATCCTAAATTGGAATTATAATTTTTTATGACTATGTAGAGTTTATCTCTATATAAGGTATCACTATAAAGATGTTTTACTATAATGATATCGACCCTCTTTAAGATTTAATTGAATAAAAAAAAATGTTTCAAAGTGTCAAAAATAACAAAAAGTTATTTATCGATACCGAGACATTAAAATATAATGTGAACATTTTTTAGTTTTATATGTAAACTTCTAGGAGAAAGAATTTTCTATGAAAAAAATTTAGCGATTCATTTTAAAAATCTGTACAATAATACAAAAATGATTTTCGAGGATACCTTTGTTTGAGTAAATACTGAATCCCATTTTGCATGTACGAATTTAATAACTAAAATTGAATGTAGAAAAATTAGTTGGATAGAATGAGCCGAAATAAGTGAAGATAGAATGAACCCTCTATTGGGCCTATCCTTGGGCTAAAGACACTTTAGTTGGATTTAATTTGTTCACCTTTTAAATACACTACAAAATTTTCTCTCACTGTAATTTCTTTCCCTTCCGAAGATTGAAATTACATGAAAATATAGGGTGTGTCTTCCGAGGAATTTTGGGTATCCGGTTTTTTGGAAAATGCTTGAAAAAGGGAGAATAAAAACGTGTTCTTTGAAAATGTGTTTGGAATGTTTATTTGAAGTCACAGAGAAAAGAATGAAAAATGCAAAATTAATCATCTCCACAACTGATTAAACTTATTCAAAATACTATTTATTTTGTTTAGCTTGAAGAGTTTGTTTTAAATACGTCAACAGTTGATTTCTGTTTGCAAATTTGTACAAAAAAATCCTCATTTGAAACGAAAATTGTTGTTTTAAAAGAGAGAAGGAAAAAAATAATAAAAAACAAGAAAATATATAACTTTTTATTAAAATGTTAATTTTTTTTTTATATATATAAAAATGGTGGTTCATAGCCTTTTCTTTGCCTGCCCTTTTCAATTTTTTTTTTCCATCAAAACTTTAAGAATAGTAAACTAACAGATATTATACAAATTCTAAGGAACAAAAAATAGAAACAAAATGCTTAGCTCATAAACGAACACAACCATAATTGTTCCTTTTTATAATAATCAAAATTCTGCTTTGAACACCTGTGTCATAATTTTATAAAATAAAGTTTTATTATACATGCTTCTTAGAGCTCAAATTTATCCTTTATTTATTTAATAAAAATTCACTTTGTTTTTTATTTAACTTAGGGTTCGGTATGACTCCTTTGAGTAGAGCTTATGAAAGAAAAACTTATTATAATAGAGCTTATATAAGCAGTGGCAGATCTAGGATTTTTGTCAGGGGGGAGGCCTCCGCAGTTTCATCATTGTTTGTCAAACAACTAGTGAAAACTTAAAAAAAATCACAAAACTTTAAGCAAAGAAAATAATACAATATCAAAAACTTAAGAGAAAAGAATAAAATAACATAATACTTTCCTACTTGAATAAATTCATGAGAAGAAATTTTTTGAATAAATGTG